AGCTGTCCCATTGGGCCCAATAGGTTCTAGTGGTCGAACTCATCTCTGAGACGTCGCTCCACTTAGGCTTGATAGCACGGGTCTTCATCCATTCCAGAATCGGCTTGATGTCCGGATCTTCCTGCTGTGCATGTCGTAGGCTGTCTTTCCACTCGTTGCTGAGGTGGTCTGTCCTGAGCATCCTCACGGATACCACTTCGTTACTCTCTGGCCTAGTAAAATGTTTCCAATCTTCAGGACAAGGTCTTCTTGACAATGCATCTGCGTTGCCATGAGATTTCCCGCTGCGATGTCTGACAGTAAAGTCGTATCCCGGCTGCTGCTGGGCGGTGATGTTAGCCGCACTTCCCTTCTGAGATCGTTCACCTTCCCTTTCTAGGGTTCACTTAGGGCAGCTGGGTCGAAGATGGCCCCTTTTCCCACAGCCATAGCACCTAGGGCTGTATCATTTATTGTGGTCCCGAACCGTAACTGCTGCAACCTCCCTAGCGTGAGGGGAACGATGATCCTGCCACCGCCAGGCGGTGCCGTTAGCTGCACTACCCTCTTGATATCGATCAACTTCCCTTTCTACGGTTCGCTTAGGGCAGCTGGATCGAAGATGGCCCCTTTTCCCCAGCCATAGCACCTAGGGCTGTATCCTTTGTTGCGGTCACGAACTGTAGCTGCTGCAACCTCCCTGACGCGATGGGAACGATGATCCTGTCGCACGGCTTCCACCTCCAGTGCATGGGCCAAGGCGTCCTTAAGCGTTTCGTGGTGCCCCAGCCTCACAGCAGCTCTGACTTCAAGGTCACGGATGCCGTCGATGAATGTCTGCACCAGGTTCCCTTCAATGAGCGCAGGTACAGACTGGTATGCTTTTCGCACCAGCTTCTCCACCTCTCGAGCCTACTGCTGCAGGTTTTCATTGATGCGCTGCACGCGATCTTTAAGCTGCACGCGAAAGACGTGTTCCAGGTGAGCGTCGCCATATCTCGCTTCCAATGCCTCAAGGAGCTGCTCATAAGTCACTTCCTCAACGAGAGCTTCCAGAACAGTTAAGGCCTGGTTGCGCAAGCCTAGTATGAGAGCAGTCATGGCCTGATTTTTATTCCAGCCGTTTGCCTTCATAACAGCCTCGAACTGGATTTTGTAGGCTGACCAGGAAGAAGTCCCGTCAAACGGTGGCACCTTGAACCCACGTAGCGAAGGTGTTGTAGCTACTACGGGAGCTCTAGTTCCATCTTCAAGTTTGAGTTCGTCCAGTGATTTCTTCATTTCAGCCATTACGTTGTCAACCCGATTGTTTACTTGGTCGATTCGGGTTTCAGCTTCCGACAGGCGGTTGTCATGTTGAGCAACCTTATCCTTCACCTCCCGTATCTCTTTTCCGAAGGTAGCGTGAAGGTCCTTCATGAGGAGCATCTGCTCTTCCAACCGACGGGCCTGTTCCTCCTGCCGGCGGACCTGTTCCTCCTGTCGGCGGGTCTATTCATCCTGTTGGCAGGTCTGTTCATCCTGTCCGCCCCGCAGCTGCTCTTCCAAGCGACGGACCTGTTCCTCCTGTCGGCGAGCCTGCTCCTGCAGCATCACCATCAGAGCACCTAAGTCAGGTGCTGCAGATGTAGGAGCTACTGACGGGCCTGCAGCCGGCGGCTGGCCCTCCGACGTATGCGGCGTTGCACCACCAAATCTTCTTTGGTCCGTCTCCTGCTGGCGTTGACTTCGGGTACGGACACCCTCCGTTTCCACCTTAGGTAAAACCGGTATGATTTTATCCCACTTCTGACACCAACTGTTACGATCTTGAGGTTCGTGACAATAAAAATTGCCGATAGAATTAACAAAATTAACTCTTTAATTCACTTTACACTAATTTACACTAATTAAAACTTAGAACACTAATAATTAACCACACTGATTCACTTTATTTCGCTCCGAAGCTTCGCTTGTCTCGACAAATTCAATACTTCTCCGCTCGCATCTTGCAGCGCCTTTAAATACACATTATCACCGAAACATCCAACAAGTAAATACGCGCGCCAATCGACAAGGCGTCGAAAGTTCGAGTATCGGACTTCTAGAAGCTTAGTTCTTCGTTTCGATACTAGATAGCGCTGTCGGTGAAAGATTAGTGATGTCATTTTCTGAAAAGTTCCCCTCGCTCTCGTCCCCAACACTAGATGGCGCTAGTGCCGGGTACAAGACGTTAACTTAGGCGCGCAACAAAATTTTGATAAATTTAATTTTATATCGGACTTTAAGCTCAATCATAATTTTTCTTAGGTAGGAAAACAAGTTGTTTTTTTTAATATACAAATACTCATTACTTATTTGTGTATTTTGTGTATATTATTTGTGTAAAAAAATCAACGAACATCCCGTTTATTATAATGAAACTTCTACATATATTATTAGATATGTAATAAAAATAAAAAAAACAGTATTTTATAGTACAAGGGGCGTCAGAATTAAAAATATATTAAAACCGCAAACACGATACGGTATCGTATGTTACAGTGATTTGGTTACCACTTTACCTAGAGTTACTGTAACGAGAGGCAGAGAAATCGCGACCGATGGGGAATGAGACTGGAAAATAGCTCATTTTGTTTATTCATGTCGATGCTTGTGTTATACCCCTGAATGGGGTATAACTGTGAATGAATAAAGTAAGGTACTATAACTAAAACTTCAATGATACTCTTGGTTGCAAAAATGTTTGATTTTAAATTAATTATTAGTAATTATTCATTTTTCACAAGCATCAAAAATCCACTCTTGAACATAACTCCTCCATAGATTTCCTTATGCGGTCTCCCGTATAACATATTTCGATAGTTACAAGTGAATTGACAAACGCACTTTATTTATTTATTATTAGTTGACTTGTCAGGAAGATGCCGACCTATTACGACATTTATGAGAAGATTTTAGTGCCTGGTGTCACGAGCCATGCACCAGTCCCAGTCAAAGCCAATATTGGTTCACAAAAATCACCTTTTTAGTACTTATTCACGTTTCTTTAACGTACGAGTAACTTATCTACGCATAGATAAGGTTGAAAGAATGTTCTATGTCTGCCTCTACATTTCTGGCACTGTTGTTACGTACTTTGGCAACTTCCGATAAGGTTCAAAAGTTATTGCCGTAGTCGAGTCGACTAGATTTTTTATATAGTATGTTGAAAATATTTATTATGACAAAATCTATTATATTATTAGAATATTCATTAATTAACTATATTTATTTTAAAAACAAGAGCATAAGAAATGTTATATAACCTACAAAATATATTTGTATGTTTTATTTAATCGCCTTATTTTTTTTGGAGATATTTTCGTAAATTGTTTAATCAACGCAAAACTTAATTATTTATTTCCAATATTATTTTATAAATATTTTAGCGCTGAACAAAAGTCAGTTTTGCTTTTTAAGCAGTTTTTGAAAAGACCTCGTAGTTGGAATAGTAGTGCTAAGTTTTTTCACCCACATCTGAAGTAGCATTGCACAACCTTTTAAGAAACTTTTCTTCAACGATCCTGTTATCGAGTTTATAAAGAAAAATACCGATACATTTTCGCTCACTGTTGAATTGGAAAGTTTTCCACAAGATTCGGAAGCAAAGTCTTTGTGTTTTGATGCCTGCGGTGAAGTTTGAAGTTTTTAAAAGCTGTGTAAAATGTGATCTTTTTGAGTTTAAACTATTTTTAAAACTAAAAAATCTAAAGCAATTAATTATTAAATATATAGTTTAATAACGAACAAAAGAGACTTATGTTTTCCAGTAGATCTTTTGTAATACGCAAATGGTTTTGAGCTGTGGAGGTCGATCCTGAAGGGGGGCACCGAGGACAAAAACACCAAGCCAACACGCTTGTTACAAGGCACCTACTCTCCACCGTCAGCCTTGCTCTCATCAAGCAAATAAAATACTCTAAAAAAATTTTCGACCCCAAACAAATAATATATTTATACCGACAAAAATAGAGCCATATTCACGTAGTTCAGGAGCTGGGCGATTGCTTCAACATACCTTTGCGTAAATTAGAACACTTGCAAACCAAGCTCGATCCTACGATAACAACAAAAAATGTTTTCGTCACATTTTTTGTTTTTCGTTATTTAAAGTTGATTTATTACGTGGTTGCCGGTGAAGGAAAATATGATGTTCGTGACATTATTAATATGTATTGCGAGGATTTATGACTTTTGAATTCATCCTTTTTCCTTAAGGAATAAGGAAAATATCAATGCACAGTACTGAGACGTATATATGCTGTTCCTTTAATTCAATTAGGTACGTAATTTCTAAAACAGATTATTGAAACATTAAGTCCTGAGGTAGATTTTATAACTTTAAAGGCGAATAACGCCGCTAAGAACTGATATCGGAAGTGAAGTTTAATGTTTTTTTAATGGCTGTATTTCAATAGCTTCTAAATTAACGTGTATAACAGTTAAACTCCAAAATTATTACTTATTAAAATGTATTTTACTTATTCTATTTTATTCTAATTTAGCCAAGACGACATTTTAACCTTAACTAGTGACAGAACGTCACTGGGAAGCCTAAGTAAAGCCAGAGATATCGAATGCTAGTTGAGTTATACAACGTTTCTAATTGCATACCACTATGCAGTGACACAGATTTAAAAAATACGTCCACTTAGTTTTAAGTTTATTTACGGCAAAATTTTTAATTTATGTGGCTCTACCTAGCTTTGGATACGCACGGGGCATTTTCCTAATACTGTATTATAAAAATTGCCACGCCAACGTCACAGGGCCTTTTCTCATTGTAAAAAATCTTTACACTTTAACAATGTCAGATGGAGTTCTTAATGAGTATTGTTATCACTTTAGTTAAGTTTTTATTTATCACTCTTGGTAATACTGCATAAAATGGATTTTGAGCTTAAAAATATTGTGAAGAATTTTTTTTATAGTTTAATATTTTCATTCTTATAGTAACTACTAAATAAATAACAAGTAAACGTATGGTTTTTATATTTCAGATATACGAAACTCCAGAGAATACGCGGCCAAAGAAATGGTCATCAAAACTAAAGCTAAATACATCAGGGAGCTCTAAATCATCAGAGAAATCTCCTGAAAGTCCGTGTATGTATGGCACTGTAAATGGCCCACCGGGATCTGCACTGTCAAAATCTATGAAATATGCCGAAACATGGCTGTATGGTTCAGTAAGGACTCCAACATCTCCTGCTAGAGCCAGCGTCTTTTCCACCTACCCTGAAGTTTCAGGCCCTGTACTTATTAGTACGCCACAAAAACCAACTCCCCATAATTACGCAGTTATATTATGTTCCTGTCCTGAGTACTTAAATGGTACCAAGAAAACCAACTCAACCAAAGTCAGTATATGTAAAAAATGTAAGGGATCACGTTTGCCACTAACAATTGCTGAAAGCCCTCGAATTTTAGTAGGTGGAACAGTAAGAGGTTCGCATGTAAGTCGAGAAACTGGTTTACTAAGGGCTGGGACAGTCCGAGTGCAAAATACTAAAGCAAGACCTAGTATACTCAAGTCGAATGGAGACCCTGCTGATCCATATGACTTAATGAGAAGAAGTCGTCTAGCACCACCTCATGAAACACGAATTGGCAGTCAGTTTTCCACAACTCGATCTCGAGCTAAAAGTATAAGTCCTTGTAGAGTTAAAAATAAAAATGTAGTTCCAGAAACTTTTGGAAAAAGTAGAAGTAAATCTGTAAGTCGCGTTAATGAAATATGGGTTGATGAAGATGCTAACGCAAATGAGTATAAAAAATCAATACTGTCATGTGATATCAATCCATATGACTTAGTTAAATCAAGTGTTAACTCAAAATCGTTGGCTGAAATCGAATTCGATGACGACTTTGGAGATGTGTTTCAAGATTCATTAAAACATAAAAACTTTAAAGAAATAAGACATTCAAAGTCAGATTCTAACGTAAAAGCAATAAGTGGACAAAGAATACGAGTTTCTAATGAGACCAAAAGTAGTAGTGAAGAAACATCAGCTTATAAATCTAACAATGATCTCAAAAACTCTCAATCTAAAAATCAAGACGCATCGCCATCATTGTCTTTACCAAATATTAAAAACGAAAGCAAAAGATTTGTATCATTAAGTAAGAATAGCAGTAAAAAAATATTAAATATATCAAGTCGTACAAAGCCCAAAAGTGTTTCTCCAAAACGCCCACCAAGAAGAAATAGAAGTATCAAAATAGAAGACGACAGTGAAAGTGATAATCAAAAATTACCAGAGAGAAATTGTAACAGAAAAATAGCTTATGAGTCGTCTCGTAATTCTAAACACAAGAATCTTAATAATGATCCCATCAAATCTATCCTTAAAAAACCTAAAAATTACAACGGACATGATTCAAATACAAAAACTGAGACGTCAGATGATTTATTTGATAATAAGCGTACAAACTCTTCACAATTCTATCTTCCTAAACCTAACGATAAATCATTGATCTCACCTCAAAATATGATACATAGAAAACGTGTACAATTCTTAGTAGAAAATGAAGAAACTAAAGTAATTTACACCGCAGAATTAAATCTACAGGATAACATTGAAGAGATAATTCTGCTGAACACGAAGAAGTGATTGCCGAAGGAGATTTTGTAAGCCATAGTCTAAAAGTAATAAATGATGAAAATACCCTTGAAGCACTATCACAACAAATCCAAAATAACGAAACTGTTATAGAAGTGGAGAGTTTAAATAATGAAGACAATAGCAAATCCATTATTCAAGAAAACAGCCAAAATATTTTAATGAATAATGAAGCTAATAGTACCCATAAAGTTAAAACAGAAGGTAAGATTTTATCATATAATCCATCCATAATTGAGTAAATTTTTGTATATTTATCCGTTACCGTTTCAGTCTATTAAAAGTTCACTACTGAACATAAGATATTCTTATAGATTGCCTCATTGGGGGAAAATTTGCCATATTTACCTCGCTTGGCAACTGCAGTTCTTTTTAAATTTAAGTTGTTATAAGAAATAAATTTTGCCCATCTCCAGGCTTGTTTCCCTTTGTTATCATGAAACGATATGGGGTAGGGGAAATTCTAACGCCGTCACTACACGATCAGTTTTTATGCAACTCATAATTAAGTTTTGCTATTTTTACAGATAACAATATACCTAAAATACCAGTACTACGGCGATCCGAATCTGAAAGACTGAACTCTATTTTAACTATCTCACCTCCCAAATTTTTAGATACTATGGCTTTGCGTTCTAAACCAAAGCATGGACACACAAGTCAAGTATTTTTTAAATCTGTCAGTGAAAAAAATTTGGAAAGTGAAAATAATTTCTTAATATCGCAAGAAACAAATAATGAATTAAAGTCTCAGCATTATTCGAAGGACGATGAAAAACATGAGAACTTGAGTGACAGTAGTGAAATTACAAGCAAAGTTTTGCAAAACTTAAGACATGGTTTGTCAACCTCACCAGAACCGCCACCTAGATTAAAGTCAAAAGATCGTAGTAAATCGAAAAAGCAGAACTATGTGAAAGCTCGTTTTATTAGAAATAATTCTTCGAGTTCAACGAGCGATGAGTGGTCTGATGCAAATGAAGGTGAACAAAAAACTATTTTGAGGGTTAAGCAATTTGACTCTGATGAAGCAGATGACCGAAATGAAAACAAAAACCTTTTGCACATTGTAGATAACGAACCTAAAAAGACTTCTATCCAAATAAATGGTAGTGAGTGTTATTCCACAATGAACGTAGGCACCGACACTCCAATTTATTTGTCATCGGTTGTTGTGAACGATGATTATGGGAATACTTGCAATACATATCAAACAGGTACTACTGTAACTATAAGTGTTGGAAGCCCCCAAAAAGAAATGAAAAAATCTAAAAGCCAAATTTATATTGGAGCCATCTTTTCCGAGGCAGGAAAAGGTAAAGAAGAGCCAAACACATATGAAGACATCTATAATGGTTCTAATAAAAGCTATGAATTGACAAGTCCTTTAAATGACAATTCTACGAATGATATATCGTCAATATTAAGTGATCCTGTCGAAGCTGTTAAAAGAAATTTAATTCCTCACGTATGTGGTAAGTCTAATGATACATTAGGGGATTTGAGTAGTACAAAACAGGAATATTGCGATAATGATAAAGAAAATCAAAATCAAGGTGAAAAAGGAAACTTTGTAACAAAACTATTTAACGATCCTTTCTTCGGTCACTTAGCGGAAGGGCTCGATACAGATTTAGTCAAAAAACTTATTGAAAACTCATTAATAAAACTCCAGGAAACAAAAAATAAGGAAGACACAGATAGCAGCAAAGCAACTATTGAAAAGCTTATAGAAAGTTCTCTTAAGAATATGAAAAGCGACCTTTCAAGGGACTCGAAAAATGAGACACAGAAAAATAGTGAAGATATTATATCTAACAAAAAGGAAGTTAACACAACTGGAACAGATATTGACGACAATGGCTGCTCTGCTCCTTATGAAAGTATGGAGTACGAGAGTGGTGCAATGGGAGTTTTTTCTGACCTTGAACCAATGTCAGACTGTTACAATGCTTCAGCAAGTGAGCTATCTACTGAAGACGATACAAACTCAACTAGATCCAAATTTTATCAAATGTTAGTAGACGCTGCTTTGTGTGATATTGAAATAACAAATACCACAGATGAAGATCACCTTTATGAGTCTATACGGTTAAACACTGACCCAATTTATGAAGAAATTGGAGATATGCCACCCCCTTTACCCGTAAATCCACCTCCCAATTCACTTTTGTTGCATGAGGATGAAAAACGTAGTGGATCGCGTTCAATTTTTGAAGGAGCATCGAAATACGACATTTTGTCGTATTTAGTAGATGCTAAAGAAAGAGGTATTGATGATGAAGATACCTATATAACTAGTTATGGTAATGAAAACGATTCATCCGTATTAGTAGAAGAGTCAAAAGATAAAAAAGAAAGTGAATTAGTAAAAAATCATCTAAGGAGTAACACAAGTCAGTTGTCAAGTTCGTCTGATTCTAGTGAAGACAACTCATTGATAATTAATCATGAAGTGTTAGAAAAACCCGTCGTGTGCAAAAAAACATCAGCAGAAATTGAAAGAAATGATTCTGGTGTAGGTTCTGAGACAAGTAAATCATCACGAAGTAGACTACAAGGAAAGATTTTACCATGTAATACTCTTACAGAGAAAAACGCACCCATTCATCTTTGTGAAGATTGTGACTCTGCTGTGGAAACGCAAGTTACTGAGCAAGGTAAAATATTATATAATGATTTCTTATATTTACGCGAACACTACACGTTTAAATGATACTAGTTTTTATGGATTTTATCGCGTATATTTCACTATAAATACTCGACGTTTCGAGCGCTTTACAGCACCCGTGGTCACAAGGGGGACTGAGATGTTCAAGGTCCAGATGTCATAGTTAACAGCGGTTAACATAGATTAAAATTTAACTTTTGTTCCGATCTAAACAGTATGAACTTACACCGAAACCAAAATATTTATAGTTAAATATACACGATAAAATCCGTAAAAAACTAGTATTATCTAAAAATTATAGTTAACACTATCAACTACAGATTTTATATTAAAAAATACGTGTGGCACTCGGTGACTGCCGCGGTAAAGCTACTGCATAGCATTTTTTATCAACTTATACAATTATAATTATTTATTTATTTTATTTATGCAGTTAAGTCTTTGATATTCAATCAAGTTACGAGTTTTGAGCGTGGTGACCGATAAGAAAACAATTTTTTTTCTCTTCTTGAATAAATGAGAAGTTAATATTGTTTAAAATATTTTTAATATCTTACAATACATGTAGGTTATTCAGGAATTTTTATCATTGAGTTAGCAGCTAGTGTACACGCACACAAATACCGTGCCGAACTCTGCCGAACTGAAACGACGTTAGACGATGCACGGCTTTCAACGCCACACCTCCGTGCCCGTCGGAGTGGGGAGCGTGAGGTTTTTTTTCGTTACGGAATTTCTGGATTCGGTCCCCGCGCTCAAGGCCCGCGATAGAAGCTATGCAATAGCTTAAAAAGTGAAAAAAATTTGAAATTTATTGTTGTCCTCTTATTTTAGGTTCAGTGTTTGCTCCCTTAGTATGTCGAAAGTGTGCCAAAAAGAGAGCAGAAAGAAAGGAAATCATAACAGAGATTGTGGAAACTGAAGAAAAATATGGAAGAGATCTTCAAATTATCCTAGAAGAGTTTTACAAACCAATGTTAGTAGCTGGTCTTCTGACTCAAGAACAACTAAGTGCAATTTTTTTGAACGTAGAAGAGTTAATAGAAAATAATCAAGTACTGTCAGAAAAACTAAGAGATGCACTTGAAATAGCAGTTGAACAGGGTGACGAGGTATTTATTATATGTACTAGTATATATTTTATTTTATTTTATTTAATCTTCTGTCGTCGTAATATACATTTACTTTCATATTTATTTCATATATTAATAATTATTATCATAACATATACTTTTTTCCTTATAGTTGTTAATTTTTATTGACAACTGCGTGTCTGTTGGTTAATGTGTTGGTAAATATTGAATGACCAATTAGTTGCGAATGTTCGGTTTTACATTAGACAGAGCCGAAATTTGTAAAAATAACGCAAATATAACGTTTTTTGATGCCTAATAATACGTAGCTTGTGACTCATAGTTCAAGTTTTTCAAAAATGATAATACTAAACTAAACTAAACTAAAAACTGAGACAATGGCCCGTAGTAATAATAAAAAACAAAGCAATTTCGGTTTTACGTTAGATGCAAAACTTTGTAATAATTCCAACTATTTGTCATTAAATCTTACTAGCAATTGGATAATGTTACGTTTCATTTCAGAGAATAAGTTAAAATACATTTTTATTTTTATAGACACGCTTTGTTCTGGAATACCACGGTAATCCAGCCCCTGGCTAATCCTAACTCCCTTGTAATCCGACATGCCTTGAATGAAGCCGCCATGTAGGGGGAGGAGGGGTGTCCTTGGCGAATACGTGGACAAGCAGGTTGCAATTATTTCGGGCCATTGTCTCAGTTTAAGTGTGACTATGGGGTTGCAGTCTAGGGGGCATTCATCATTTACTGTTTAGGTATTCATTGAGCATTACATGACTTTTTAATTATTTTATATTTAATGTGCAATTTGTTGGATTACAAGGTACTTTTTTTCAAAAAGTTCCGGACTACAAGGGGCTGTAGCAGTATTCTATAGTCCGACAAATTTGATAATCATCTTGCAGAACGTTTGTCCGATTACCGCGGATCTACTCTATAATGAAGTAGTTTACTAAAAGATAGTAAAATAATTAAATGAACTGCTAATGAATTCACAGGACCTGCTGACGGTTAACGTTGGGAAGATTCTCTTGGAGTGCTCTGGTATGCTGACAGCGTTCCAATCATATTGTGTTAAGCAAGCGGGTGCGGCATTACTTCTAGCAGGCCTTGAAAAAGAAAAAGAACTCCTCAGGATATTCTTACGCGTTTCACAAATGGAGAACACAGTTTTGAGGCGAATGAATTTGAATTCATTTCTCATGGTAAGGATACAAATTATGTACAAAATTATCTTTTCAACTGTGAGGTTCTCTCGAATGCTATTTTGAGTGAATGATTTGGTTTAAACTCTTTCCCTCTTTCTTTTCCACAATTGGAGAATCAGACGGACAGCAGTTCACTACCCTTTTGTTGTTTATATTCCACGCATTCGAAACAAACGGTTTACTTCGGCTTTGCGTACAACAAAAGATTAGAATAATTTATCGGCGTCTGTCTTTTCATCCAATTATAACCTGGATGTGTTGAAAACATGAGTGTCACAGAAAGAGCTTTTATTACGCTACTAAGATAGTGCGTTTTGCCACACTTACGGTGGGATTGCATTGTGTAATCCCGAGTGAGATAATGATCTAGAACTGGCTTATATTAAGTAAAAACTTAAATAAAATTCATCGTATTAGACTCGATATCTGCTCGTGTTTCCTTCAAAAATCTACTCAAAGCTTATCACTTAGAACCTTAATATTTCCCATCTTCTTTTCTCGTATCTATCTTCTTTATTGACAACTATTATCGTCGTGTGTTTGTATTTAATTTTATTGTATAACTTACCACGCTATAATTTGTGAGCAACAGTTCTCCGTCTTAATCCAACGTCGAACTAAGCAAATATAAATCATAAATTTTGTTATAAATCTTAGCACTTTTTAAATGTTATATGAAATTTTTCAGGTGCCAGTTCAACGCGTGACAAAATATCCTCTTCTCCTCTCAAGATTATACCGTGCAACGCCATCATGTGCATCGGAAAGAGAAGATGTTCGAGGCGCTCAGCGCTGCGTAGAGTCTAGACTTGAAGAAATTAATGCGGCCGCGGCAGCAGCAGCGGCGGCGGCTAGAGATGTGCCATTGTGGAGAAGATTAGCAGCTGCTAGGCGTACAGCCCATGATTTACATGTAGCTGATATACGACTTAGAAAGATGGCTGTGGATGTGCTAGACTGGAATCATGATGATGCTAGGTATGATTGATATCTTTGTGATTTCATTCCTCTCTCCAAAATGTCCAATTTGTAAAAGCATAAGCCTGCATTATACTCACAATTATGCACCTCCCTGCAGGCTCCCTTTCATTTCCGAGAGTTTTATGGAGCATTTCGTCCACTTCATTTCTCCAGCGCGAGTTTGCGGACTTCACATGTTGAATTCGAAATAATTTAATTGTCATTTATTACTTAGATATGCAGGTTTTCTCACGATTTTACGTTAAGCATGTAATTAAGGAACACTTAAATTTGCAATGAACAGTTTGATTGGTGCTGGCAGGAGTCGAAAGCGTATTGTGAAATTTTTGGGGAGTTCTTAGCCTAGAGTTAAACATTGGACATTTAGCTTTGCTTTGAGATTAAAGGTATCTATTATAATGATATAAAATATATAAATAAGATACATTTTGAAATAAATGGTGAGTGTCAAAATAAATAGGTATAAATGGTCCCTCAATAGAAATATAAATCTTTGACACTGTTATAATAGGTTCGAGCAAGCTTCAAACATGTGATAATATGAAAACTATGAAGTGAATTTTTATCCTTAACTTAACTTAACTTTTAATAACATGAAAGGTAAAGGTAAAAAATTTAAATATGTACAAATTTAGTGTGAGTAATTTTCATGTGAGTATTATGTTGTATTGTCGTATGAGGTTACCAACGACTATTTTATATGCTTAAAGGATTATGTCTATGCTTTTATTGTATCTCATATTTCTCATAAATTATTAGGAATAAAATACAACTTTACAAAAACATTTAGGTCTTGATACTTAGTCATATTATTACCAATTAATAATAATTCATTTCTACTAGATCCTGAGGATAGGTCTCAAAATGAACAAGAACAATAAATACATTTAACGTCCTTTTCCCGCATATACATGTATAGTTGTTGATCACTCTATATTCGAAGTTGTAGACTAGATACTTAGGAAAAATTGTCGGTCTATATAAGTTCAAGTTCGAATGAGAGATGAATCAATCGACGGTTTGAAAATCACGACACATCTTCTTGTCCTATATTCCTTAAAACCTCAATGGGGTAATCTGAGTAATCCTACTACTTATCGTATGAGAAATATTTAAGTCGGTTAGCGAGCTATGAAGAGGGGTGCTTTTGGAGTTTCTCTGCGTGAAACAATTATATAATTATACCTTCTGTGTACTAAATATCGGGAATTTGTCAATAATTTTAATTAGCTCATTCAGCGAATTTTTTGTTATGGCTTCTATCGACTCAAAACGTTTTCCTCGAACTTTTTTATTTCCCAAGTAAAATTACCCAATTTTAACTTGGGAAATAAAAAAAGTCAGACGGAGCCATATCAGGTGAATATTCTTCATGACGCCTAAATAATATTCTTTATTCACTGTTTCTCCCTTTGGTAGGAATTCGGAGTGAACCACACCACGGTAGTCAAAAAAAACTGTCAGCATCACCTTGATTTTGGAGCGACTTTGCCGTGGTTTTTTGGGTTTCGGCTCGTTTTCGAGACGCCATTCTGAAGACTGTTGGCTTGTTTGCATGTCGTACTCATAAACCCATGTCGCGTCGCCAGTTATTATACGTTTCATAAAGCCGGATCCGTAGAAGCTCGGGAAACCATATCTTCAGCGACATGCTTTCGCTGCGCTCTTTGAACAAAATTGAGCTCTTTTGGAACTAGACGAGCGGCGACGCGTTTCATGCCTAAAATGTCAATGAGAATGTTGTGGACGGACTTAAAAGATATGTTCACCTCACTAGCCAACTCTCTCAGACTCATACGTCGATTTTCGAGCACTAGCTTCTTGATTTTGTCGATGTTTTCTTTGGTCGTAGCGGTTGAAGGTCTACCAGAACGAGGCAAGTCTACTACTACTTCTCGGCCTTCTTTAAAAGCCTTATACTATTCATAAGGCCTTGTTTTCGATATACACGATTCGCCGTAGGTATTTCGCAACATTTTTAGTGATTCACCACATGAAATATCATTCGAAACACAAAATTTAAGGCACACTCTTTGTTCAACAATATTTTCCATTGTAAAAATCGCCGAGAACTCAAAACTATGACCAACAAAAAGTGTAGTTTAAAACAAATTAAATGACATATCCCGCTCAAACTTTGCGCACTAAATCAGTACAGTGCTACCAACATGCAGTAAAAAAAATTAGAACGACCTCTTTCACGTGGGTCTTTTTATTGACATATTCCCGATACTTTTTACACAGAGTAGTATATATAATTATTATGGAGATATCCGTATTAGAACTAGAAGCAATGGGCATAGCTCAAGATGAAGTAGCAATGAACCTGGACAAAAATCTTAAACAACTAAAAACTGATGGGTAGAAAGGTTCTTAAGTTACACACTTGTACCGGTAAGTAGAGTGTAGGGCGGCTAATAGGAGTGACGTCCTGATAAGAGATGCGGAAAGTTCATGGATGTAAATCTACGTTTAACAGTGAATGTGTGAGACTTTACTACCTTGACCCGTTTATGAGTTAGGTAACCCAGAAACCGTACTGGCGGTCACTAATCAGCTGGTCATCCTCAAGGTACCGCATGAAACAAGGCACCGATCTATGAAATGATTTTATTAATTAATTCTACATTTGATCTACATTTTTAGGTTCGCTATGGAAGGCAAACTGCTGTTCACGCAACCGAATGATAATAACTGGCGCAAGGGACGCACCATCAAGCTAATGCCGATAAATGCGCTTTTGGTTACTAACGGAAAGGTGAGTTTTGAAAACAATGCAAAGATTAAAGCGAAAACAGGGAATACAATTAAAAAGGGTTTTATGAAACTTTGCGTGATACTTGCATTTAAATAATTCAGTGTTTGCTAAATCATACAAATAATGTCATTTTATATTAAATAAAAAAATTACTACTTATAATATGGATAATAATAATACCCCTGGGAAAGAAGTGATCGCTGTCAAGCTATTTCTTATTTAGTTTTCTGTAGTTAATAATTGTGTGACATAATACCTATATGACTGTAAACTGATTTTTTTCTTCAAAAAATATCCCGCTGGGTTTCTTGCTTCCCGACAGAGGTATTTTTCGAAGTATTGTAAATTGAACATTAATGACTTTCAATAAGTATTATTTATGATCTATATTGAATAAAAAAGGAGTGTTAAATGAGTAAATACTATAAAATAGTCACGAAATTTTTTTGCACATTTCAAGCCAACGACTACTCACAAAACGAACGAGATCCGAGAGACGAGAGAGGCTAGAGATCGCGAAGCAAGAGAAAAAGAGGGAGAAGCTCTCTTCGCGCGTAGTGGCGTGAGGGAGGCAGCTCTCCTGCTCGTTCGAGAGAAAGCCGGGCGATACACGCTTCAACGTGAGCCGTTGTTCCTTGACCGCTGCGTTGTTGCCGCTGATCACGAGCCCGAGCATTTCTTTGAAGTACATGAGATCACTACTAAAGATTCATATATTTTTAAGGTGAGTCAAAACCGAGATTATGATGAAATAAGAAATTCACATATAGAGTAATGCTTCGGTGCATCGCGTTTTACTCTATTTATGTTTATAAGCGTCTCTTGCCTCTTCACATTTTCGTGTAATTTATGATAAAGTTCTGCCTGATTTGACCGAAGCTCGGTAATTATTGAATAAAATATTACTTATTTTACAGGCTGATGAAAGCACTCGCACGAGAACTTGGTACCGACAGCTCCAGTACCACGCGCAAGGCGCGGGCGCCTGGCGGAAGCGACGAAATGCACTCGCTAATATTATGATCAATCCAATGTTAACAAGAAATTAAAATTTCGACACGAATCTTAATGTTGATCTTATTTTACGTTCAAGATTATTTCAGGCTAGTTAATTCAAATAGAATAAAGATTATAATCGAAATCGATGACGACTAGCCGTTTAGTCAAATATGTGTTCTTTATTTTTTATATAAACATAATAAGCTCTTATCGCTTGTTGGTACACAGTTTTTTTTCTTTTTGTAACATGATTCTAAATAAATTTCTATGTTTAAGTAACGTATTTTGTTAATAGCCAGGAAATTTTTATTTCAATAATTACTCTTAAGATTGTACTAAACTTTCTATATATAATATTTGTTATATTTATTAAAGCCTTATTGTTTTATATGTATTGTGAAATACATTTCAATTTATCATCATTAATACTTACAGAAAACCAAAAAAAAAAAAAAATGAGATGTATGAGGTTTAATTTTACTAACTGAAATAATTAAAATAAGTTGAGGTGTAATAATCTCATTGCAGAAAAGCAACTTCAGGTCAAGGTCATTATTGAAATTTTTTGATCAATTTTAAATGTCGTTTTTTAACTGTATATAATTATAAGAATGATTTGCCACTAGTGTAAGTTTTAGCTTTACACCAAAATATTATAGTTATCTTCATTTGCACACGTGTGCCCTAACTTGTTTTGTAACAATGTTATTTAAGGCTAAATTTTAATATTGTACATAGTTAACTTAATAGCTGTGATATCATGTCCCGTTAAAATATCATGCCCACTTTTTCTTTTAAAATTCTTCGAATGTTCTCGAAATTTCCTGACTAGTCTTAGGGGAAACAGTATAATTACTTATTTAAATGACTAACAACATCCTTACATTGTCAAAATGTATTTATTATATGTATTTATAATGTAATTAATATTATTTACTATATATAAATTAGACAAAATCATTTTTAGTTTCTAAAAGTTGAAACATTTGTTTACTTTCAGTGCAGATGGATGTGAAATAAATAATTAAAAATAAAGGTATTGTTTTAGTTATTCCTTTCTTATATGTTAAGATGAGTATCCGTTTTAAAATCACCAAGCCGCCCATGAGAGTTGTCAAAATTGCGACATATACTCGCATACATATCCATTACAGCCTATAAAAGTCCAATGCTGAACATATACCTCTCTCATAGATGGCCACATAAGGGGATTTTGCCATAGTTGGCACGCTTGGCAAGCGGGTCGAAAACCGCAGATTGTTATAATTTCAAGTTGTTTTCAGAAAGACGCTGCTTCCCATCTCCTGGCTCGGTTCTCCCTGTCGCCTCTTACGGCACCCACGGGACGATATGGAGTAGTGGATGTTCTTACACCGCCACTACACGGGACTATGTAATATATACATATATTACATAGTAAACAGTTGCGGCCATACAGAGTGAATAGGGATGTGCAATATGGCAAACACTGAAGTCATTTGGGTTGGGCGCTGGCTTGATACAGGCATTGGAGTCCCTTTATAGGGACTCTAGTGCTTGTGTTAGGATCAACGGGGTCTACTCGGACTGGTTTGACATCCATAAAGGTGTCAAACAGGGCTGTGTGGCTTCCCCGTGGCTGTTCAACCTATTTATGGACAGTTGTTTGCAAAATTTGAAAGTTGAAGAATGCGGATTAAGAATGGGTGAGTTAACCGTCAAATGACTTTTGTACGCCGATGATCAAGTTATCCTTGCGTCGTCGGCGGCCGAGTTGCAAATGATGGTTACATTAATGAACAGATCATTAAAAGAAAGGGGTATGAAAGTGAACGCAAGTAAGACGAAGGTTATGGTTTTTGAAAGAGAAGAAAGTAAAACGATTTGTGAAATATTTGTGAAATAATTGTGAATAGAAGGAAAGTTGATCGAGCAAGTAGATGAGTTTGTATATTTGGGCTGCGTATTCAGCAGGGATGGGAGATATGATAAGGATATAAAACAACGAGTGAATGCGGGAAATAGAGTAAATGGAGCCCTGCACTCTATTGTGAAGAGTCAAAATGTGTCGAAAAAGGCAAGTATGGCAATTCACAATGATGTGTTGGTCCCCACTTTAACGTATGGTAGTGAAAGTTGGGTGTGGCAGAAGAAGCGCGAGAGTAGAATAAACGCAGTAGAAATGCGGTCGTTAAGGAGTATGTTAGGGCTGAATCTTAATGACAGGGTAAGAAATTGTGTAATAAGAGAAGAGTGTGGTTTGCAAGATGATGTTGTGACCAGGATTAAGAAAGGAATGCTTCGGTGGTTTGGTCATGTGGAAAGAATGAATGAGGAAAGAGTGACAAAGAAAATTTATGTTGCAGAAGTGAATGGCAGAGTCGGAAAGGGACGTCCTAGGCGAAAATTTATCGACCAAATTGGCGATTTATTGAAAACGGGCCAAATTAGGAGTACCCTTAACCGACGAGCATGTATGCGGAGGTGTATGGATGTGAAGGAGGCGAGAGAGGTGTGTCAGGATCGTGCCAAATGGAAGTCAGTAGTCTCTGCCTACCCCTCTGGGTGACAGGCGTGAGTGTTTATGTTTATGTATGTAAACAGTTGCTATAGCAGTGGAGGATAAAAATGTAAGGTAGTGGAAATCGGTAAAAAGTCAATGTTTTCGAATTAATAAATATAGTTTTTGAGCTAGTTAAATATTTATTCAGAGTGACTTATCATGTCACTTTCTTCTCTTGTCTCGCTTACTTCATAATGTTCCATTTCCGCAGAGTATTGACAGGACTACGGGAACGCTTTCGCACATATCCACGGTCCCATCGGTGCCAGCACCCCATTACCAAAAGACCCCCTGAGTCCGGTGAGCGGGGGTAAAGAAACCAAAAAAACAGCACTCGGAAGCACCAGTCATCTAGACCCCAAAATCAGTTCTGGCTATGCTTCCGACGCCGACCATGTTTCCGCTGCGGAGGGTAAAGGGAGAGCGGCCCATCTTAATACAGACAGTCCTGTCCCCCATGCGAACCCACCAACATTGCATCTACCGTATAGCCTTTCCAGAGTCGCGGAGGTTAGCGCGAGTACCTCATCTAAATACCAATACTTTTCTTCCTCCCCCTCGGTTGCGGAGGCTTGGGTAAAAGACACTCCTCTCGCCGCAGTCCACAAACACACATCCGAAGTGGCCCGCCAAACCCACTCGGAGCGGACCCCTCAAGCCAGCTATGTGTGTACCACTTAGTTCACCGTAGATGAACAAGCCATACTACTAAGCCCTCTCGCCACGATAAGGCGGGAACACGTTCGGAGGGGGGAGCTATGGGAAACCTACACCTTACCCTTTCTAACACCTTCATGGATGCCAAACAAGTCTGTACTGTATGTATCAGACGTTGTCGGTCCCGATTATCTTGACACAAACATTAGATTCCCTATAAATAAATTTTAATTCTAATGAAGAGTATGGCCCTGATGATTGGAGCTTAAGTGCTCAGGCAATTGCTTTCATTAACCCATGCTCTAACAATAATAATGTCCTCCAGACCGGAATTCGGTCGGCGGCGGCCAGCCTCAACGGAGACTAGACATCGGCGTATGAGAGGATTATAGTGTCCAAGTGTATGCTTACTATATGATATAATACAAAAATGAAGGATTATTTTCATTTTTACAGTAAAAATTTCAGCAGAAGTCAGTGTCGTTAGACAGTGTTTTTTGTTTCTGCTAATATCAAAGCGAGGTTGCCACTGTGAGGACACTAGTCTAAGTACAATTAATAAAGACATGCCATATTAGGAACTTGGGGCCTTAAAATTCTGTAAAGTGGAGGAAATTTGTCACATCCTCATGAATATGTAAAGTGTTCACAGTTAAACGTAAGGATTTACCGTAACAGCCATGCTCGACAGTTGGATTGGAGATCACAGTATCAGACAACTCTAGCCTTTTACAGAGCTTCCAATCGCAGGACTGTGGATTTTTCATTGAATCATTCTAAGCAATATTATCGGAAGCCAAGGCACCTTTTCTGGCTTTTCCCCAATTTACGGTTTATCATATTACTGTTACGAGCTTAGGGTTCGTGACGATAAAAACTGCCGATTGAATTACCAAAATTGACACTTTAATTACTGATCACCTATTACAACTTAAAATACACAAATAATAAAACACAATTCGCAGTTATATCTCTTCGAAGTATTCGCTTGCATTGCACATTCAATACTGAACCGAGTCGCGGTCAATACCCGTCTCATATACGACCTTTTCTATTTTCTATTTTCTATTTCTATTTTACACTTTATTGTACTAAAGGTACAAATGGCGGACTTAATGCCATATGGCATTTCATACCAGCCAACCGGAAAGTTAGTGGGAGATGCGTGTACTGCAGTGGGCTAGAATGAAACCTAAAATTGATAAATTTCACATACACATACACCTTCACCCCCCTCCACACACACACACCACACACATACATACTCATAGCTCAAACTTAATTAAATATATATAAGGATCTAATAGATTAAATGTTATAGATTATTTATATATTTTTGTGTCAGATGAACCCAAATAATGTTCCTTTACCTTTGTTTTAAAAATCCATTTGTTGGGGGATTTTCTTATTGCTAGGGGAAGCGCATCCCAGAGTCTTACAGCTGTAACAGCGAAAGAGTTTGAGAGGAAACCAGTACGGTGAGAGGGAGTATAGAGCACGAGGTTGTTACGAGAGCGAAGATTGCAATCATGGGAAGAACCCAGGTATTGAAACTTACATTTAAAATACTCTGGGGCCTTTTCCACTAAAACATCTAGAATGTTTGAGTACATATCCGTCCCGACCGACTAGGTGTAGTTAGTTTTTATATAACCATTCTAAGTCATATTATCGGAATCTAAGGTACTTTTTCTGGCTTTTCCACAATTCGCGATTTATTACAAAACGACTGCAGCCGTGCACGACTAAAGAGGAATGCTCCACAGCCTGTAATTATACAGAATTTCGTTTCCCTCATAACGAAATCTTTTCAAGAAAATAAGTTCTACAACCTAAAAGTGATGTGGCGGT